GAATGTACAAATGTGCTTTACACAATTGATGTATGGATGGATTATGATGAGTTGTATGAGCCCCTAATAAAATGATTAAAAATTTAAATTTAAAAAAATCAATAAAGAATCAGAATTTGGAAAAATAAATGTACAATTGTGCTTGGCACAATGGGTGGATGTATGGATTGTGCTAAGAGTTGTATGAGCCCCCAATAAAATTACTTTTTAAAAAAACACCACCTCTGGTGTTGAGAGCAGCAGAGAATATCACTTAAGTGTTTAAGTGGAGAAAGACCAGATTTTAATTTAGAGAGTCAATCTTAAAACAATGGCTAGAAAAAAACTAAACGTAATCAGTGGGGAACACCCGCTATCATTGTGTAGAGGTGACTGAGTCTAATGATAATGAAAAAGACCAAACCTTCTAATCCAATTCTAGAGACACTGCAGGACAGAGTGGCTGATAGGCTGGAACCTTGGCAACCTTTCAGTTAGCGCCCAAATGTGTATGGTAAGGGCAATGCACCACAAACAAGGAGGTGCTACCCCAGGGGTATAAATGATATGACAATGCCCTCCAATTTTGGATCCTGGGTATGCAGGGCTTTTCTCAGAATTAATGTGTCTGCCCTCTTCTAAAATGAACCAAGTGAACATGAAGTTTATATAACCCCTGCCACGGGGCCTGTTACCAAGACTGTGCATCTCTGAGGGAGCAGACAGCTTCATCTGTGTCTGCGGAGTGGCTGGTGGGTTTGATCCCCTAACCTTTCCATTAGCAGCCCATCGCTTATCCTCAGTGCCACCAGGGCTCCTAGAAGTTTGCATGATGATTTGAAAATCATCCACTGGATCCGATGGCTAGAATCCTAGAAACAAAATTTCTCCTTACCAATCATTTGGGCAATGGTCTTTTCATATTCAGCCACAATTTTCCTAAATAAAAGGAGCAAAAAGAGAATTTACCATAAGAGTTTTAACACAATGGACATTGGAGAAATTGCTGTCCTACACAACACACACTAATGTACACTGACATCTTAAATTTATATAATTCTTTTTATCTGCTTGTGGGCTCTTTTAAAAAATATTTGTGTATGAAGAAAATAAATTAAAAAAATTTTTTTTGTGTGTGGTCTTTTTTAATATTAAAGTAGGATTTATATACTTTAAGAATGTTATTTCTTAATATTTTTAAATCACTTTCTCTTTATGGAAATAATTGTGCTCACTTTTTCTTCAGGGCTACTGGAATATAGCAGGGCAATAGATACATTCCACCTAATCAAACCAATAAAATTTGAGGGGCTTGAAGCTCTCAGGTCAGACATTAGTTTATCCCAACCATGCCCCATGCTGTCAGGCACCCCCTTCTTTCTGAGTACATTACAAGTTTTATCTTGCAGTCCTAACTCGTGAAGTATTTCACTTATTCAGAGTTGAACGCCTGCCCGCTCGCATTCACCTTTCTTAGTGAAGTGAGGCCCTGGGCCCGGTGACACCGTGGGAGTAATGTTCAGTCCTGCCCCAGCTTCTCTTGTGGTGCCTGTCACTTTCTACCCACATCCAACGAGACCCTTCCAGGTCTACGCAAACCCACTAAAGGCCGGGGCTGTCCTTTACTCTCCACTGAGCCCCACCCACCCCAGTAAACAACACTTCAAACAAGGGCCAGGGAGTAGGACGAGCAGATTTTAGATGCTTCTATGCTGACTGCACATTGGATGAATGGTCAAGGGTCGTCTTTTCCTTCCCTCCTTTGATAATGTGTTTAGTTATCTCAGAGTTCTCCAACTCAAGAGAAAAAAAATGAAAACGATCAATTTAATGTCAATGTTGTTTCCTGCTAAAACACGCTTTTTATAATTGATTGGTGGCGTGGAATTTGAAGCTTTTATTACTCTTGTAACGATGTGTTGGCTGTTGCTTTGTGCTGTCAAGTCAATTCAGACTCAGAGCATCTCTGAAGGGCTGACGGAGGCTGCTCCCGAGGGTCTGAGGCTGTAATGTCCTGGGAGCAGGTTGCCAGGTCTTTTCTACGGAGCACAGCTGGTGAGTTCAAACCACCGACCTTGTGGTTAGCATGCGACCGTAACCACTGCTTCACTAGAGCTACTTTTGCTAAGGATTACAGCCTAGAAAAACCTCCCACTTGTGTCTACTCTGTCACATGGGGCTCCTAAGTCACAATAGACTCGAAAACAACTAACATCTGAAATAAAACTGTAAGAAAATACTATGACTGTCACTGTTCTCTGACAGAAGATGTCAACACAGTGTATTACTCTGCATTTCAAATAGACATTTTTTGGCATGTACTTATGCTAATTCTTTTGAAAAGACAAGAATGACCCGGGCTCTGAGGAGCCTGAGCTAAGCTACAGTATATGAAGATCGCACCTGCCCCAGCAAAACCTCATGAAATGACAGTATCAGTCACATAAAGCTAAGTGCAACTAACGGGGCCCTCAGCTTCTCCCCAGTTGGGTCGGCCATCAATGAACACTTTCATGGCTTGATCTGTAGTAAATGGAATAAGCATAAAGACACTGGGGACTCTGAACAGTTGCATGGAAAAATTCTGTTTCCCCCCCAGTTTTTGCAGCCCCCTCGTTTGCTCCCATTGCCCCAAACCACAAGCTCTCACCTCATCTCCAGGACTTCCTGTCGGGTCTCTTCGTATTTTTTCTTCCATTCATTGGCTTCAACCTCTTTTGTGATTATCTAGATTATAATAGAGAGAAAGCCTGCTTTTACCAATTCAATCTACTTTGACAGTTTGGATCGTAGATTGGAGCTGGAGACCATAGGCAGTCCAACCCACCCCACAACATTTCATTTGCTTATTTCTATACAAAATGAAACCCTAACAGCTCTGCCTAATGGGCGCTGCAATGACGTCCGGTAGGATAACTCCAGTGACATGTAGAGGCTCTGGGAATTATGAGTGGGCTATGTTGACTTATCTACTTGTGTTCAACATCCGTGGCATTTAAAAAATGGATGGTAAATTAGCATGGTAACCATCTTACATCATACCTCTGATGCAGTCAAGTACAGGTAAAGAAAAGGACAAACCAACAATGATATTTGTCTTTCAATCTGATGGTCTGTGGTCCCTCTTCAAATGTGGACTTGAACTCACTCCTACAGCTTAACTTTCAGTCAAACAACGGACAGGTCCATGTGGTGAACAATAACACCAGGAGGCATGCACTCCGTAAGATAAGCAACCATGCATGATTAAAAGGTGGCCTCGGCCCAGGGGCACTGCTCAGAAGACAGGAGGGGATAGGAAAGAAGGACCAAGGAAAACGGGAAACCAAGGGAGCAGGTAGGAGGGGTGCTGTTACATTATGGGGATTGCAATCACACAAAATGTGGATGGATTTTTGAACAGAAAACGAATTTCCCTCTGCAAACTTATATCCAAATCACAAAACGGTTTTTTTTTAAAAAAAAAACCCAACTAATTTCCCTCTGTAACTTATACCCAAATCACAATAAAAAGTTAAAAAAAATCTGTACATTAACCACAAGCCTATAAAAGACGCAAATCCTAGAATGTTCCTAAAGGAGTGCCCTTTGAAAGAGAGCCCCAATAGGTCAGTTAATAGGTCCAATAGTAACAGTTCATTTTAACTAAAGCTACACATGAAAAAAAAAAAAACTCACCATAAGTCACATCCACCGTGATACAATTTCATATAAAAACATAGGGTTGCAAATAAAAATTGGTCACGTGCTAAACAAACGGGACACACTAGACATTGGGATCTCCAATGTCCACAGTGGCAGCCTTTTACAACTCA